AGCAAGTCAATTCAAATGTAACCTGCTAGGTAAAAAAAATCCAAACGGGCATTTCTCTTAGTGCTGGTTCGTTCAGGTTTGCGGCAGCTGTTCCAGTCATGAGAGGCCAGCAGTGGCAGGTTAGGGTTAGTGAGGCGCAGCACTCGCAGGTGTTCACGATGAGTTTACCCTTCACTCCCAAGCCTTTTCTCAATGGACTGACAGGAAAGCCAGTGATGGTAAAATTTAAGTGGGGAATGGAATAAAAGGGCTACCTGGTCTCTGTGGATGGCTACATGTACATGCAACTTGCAAACACAAAAGATTATATAGATGGGGCATTGTTTGGACATCTGGGTGAAGTCCTAATAAGGTGTAATAGTGTCCTTTATACAGACACATTGAAGAGGAGGAGGAAAATGGGAAAATGAGAGAAAAGCATCGTTGGTATTGTTTTATGTACATGAATTTCTATGCAATAAAGATTTGTGTGTGTGTGTGTGTGTTTTCAAAAAAATTCAAATGGATGAACAGGATATAACAAAGATATAAGCCATATTTACAAGGCTGTGCCACTCCTGTTTCATAAAAAGGTTCCCTGAAGCAAGCCCTAGGGTCACCTAGAGATTTCATGTCTCCAAATAATTAGCTTCTTTAGGCCTTACTTTTCTTAACTGTGAGATTAGGTTCTTGAACCAAGTCAGCTCTAAATTATCTTGTAATTCATGATACAAAAAGTTACAAGGCAGATGTTTTTATTATATTGAACTTTATTAAACTGAACTATCATTCCTCAATGATTCCTTTAAAACAAAAACAATTTGCCTTTGGTTTTGCTTCTTTTTAGGGCATCATTCTGCTTGCTCACCAACATCTTTTTTGCTGACTACTTGTGCCCTCTAGTGATAAAGTCAATTATACAACAGGATTGGGTTGGAAAGCAGAATGTCCCAGAGTAGTAGATGGGAAGAACAAGCAAACTTCACATCAAGCGATGGGCAGGGCAAAGATGAAGGTAGAAAAGGATGGAAAGGATCGAAACACTGTGTCTATGGTTGCTTTGGAGCAGACACTCTAGATTGTGACTACTATAACAGCCACATAAACCTTTCCTGCAGTTTAGCTTTCCATAGGTCTAGCTACTTAGAGTTGGACTGTCTGAAAATATTAAACAGAAATTCCAGAATAGCCAATTTATATATTTAAAAAAATTGTGTGTTATTTTGAGTAGTGTGATAAAATCATACAGCATCCTGCTCTGTCCTGCTTGGAGCATGAGTCATCTCTTTGTCCAGAACCTGCCGTGTCCCCCATTAGTCATTTAGGAGTCTTCTTAGCAACCAGACTAAGCCTAAGACATCAAGGTTCCAGTGCTTTGCGTTCGAGACACCCTTGTTTTATTAAGTACTGTCCGGAGTAATGATGCCGGCCATTTTATTCAGCATATAGTTACAAATGTTCTAGTTTTATTATTATTTACTGTGACTGACTTGTGGGCTAAAATTCATCATAGGTACATAAAGCATAGTACGTGTACAGCACAGTTCTACCTTCAATTTTAGGCAGGCACCTGGGGTCTTTGAAAATACTTCCCACGGATAAAAAAGGGTTACTACTAAACACCAAGCACACTCCTGAATATAAAGACATTTACATTAACATTTAAATTCAGGTTTTTTTCCATGTAGTTTAACAGGATATCTAAAGATTTCCAGAAACTACCTGTTACATAATGTGGCTTTGAAACAGAACTGCTTTAAACACATCTGTCAAGGAGGTGCTGAGATTTCAAATTACACATTCTTGGTCCGTTTTGCTAGCTGGTAGATTTACCAGTGGAGTGGGTTTTGACCATGACCGTTTATTCTGCCGAGCTTAAAAAGCTCGCTAGACTTATCACTGTGCTCCTTAGGGTCACAAAGACAGCAACACAAGTGACTGTCCTCCTCCTCATCTACTCAGTCTGTGAGAAAACATCAGTGCTCTCCTTGGCCATGGATATCATGTGAATACAAATCTTGGTTACATTTTCCTAAGTAACTACAAGAGGAAATGGATTTTAGTGATGTCAGCAGAACTTAGGTTACACAGAAGGCCTTCTTAGCTACTCAGCTGTCATTGGCAGGTGAGTGAGACAGTAAGTAATCTTCTGAAACACTTAAAAAGAGAAGAAAGAATCATATATATTGGGAATCATTTTGCTGTAATCACAAGTGGAGACATAAGGTAGAGATAATAACCACTGAAGTTTCTTTCTTAAAATTAAATATCGCTGAATGAGTCCATACAAAATTGTGGTGACAAATCAGAAAAATGATTGCCTTTAGGGTCAAAGAATTGACTGCAAAGGACAACAGAGAACTTTATGAGGTGATGGAAGTTATATATCCTGCCAGGTGGTAGTTACAATGGCAGGTATAGGTCAAGATTTTCTAAATGGTGCATTTTAAATTTATGCATTTTATTGATTATAAATTATATTTTAGTTGCAAAATAGATGTCAGAGTCTTGGGGGGAGTCAACTTTAAAAACAATAGGTATCAGCACCCTCGAAGAGAGAGAAGCTGGTACAACCTCAATAGCAGATACCGTTTCACTGCACTGAGTCCTCAGCAGTACCACACTGGTCAGCTACAGTGCCACTTCAACGGCACGTTCATCTCGAGTGGCATATTGACTGCTGCAGAGCTGAGTCAACTTTACTGCCTGATGGAGGGACAGTATGGTACAGGAAAGAGATGGTCCTAAGAGACATTAGATACTTCTGACAGTCTTTAGATAGGAGTGTTGCAATTTATTTTGGGTCATCACTGGATATTTAACTGTGGACCCATATGGATAATGCCTACTAGCATTAGCAAAGAGTGAACTAGGAAGGAAAATAGATAACAAGTAATGGAACAAGCAAACAAGACCATTTTAAAAGACAGCCTCATCTGTGCTCATTCATCAGCAGCCTTTCTTTGCCGAACTCAGAGTAATGCTGAAAAGTGCTAGGACTAACCCTAGTGGCCCTACATGAATGCAAAGGTACCCATCTAGGGGTACTGTTTGCTTACAGTAACAATTGAGTCTGCCTGGCATATGGAAAACACTAGTAGATGTCACAAACAATTGGATAAATGGACTATTCTTTAGCCTGGCAAATGACTTTTGTCTCAAATGTTAACAGTCAATGTTTTTTTCTACAAAACCAGAAAGTCTTCTCCATGGTTTAATTTAACAGTCTTAAAATGAAATTGCCTAAGAAGCACTGTATCAAGATCATATTTTAATTCTTGTTTCATGTACCCTAGCCGAGGATTTTCCCATGCCCAGAAGTTTACTACAGAGATTTTTATTGACAAGGACATTCTATGACAATAAAATCTTCCCTGTAATTCCTTGGATCTAAATGGCCTGTATTAATCCTTTGGTAATTATGGTCCTTCCAGTGCTTTGTAATCTATTACTCTGATTCTCTGTTTAAGCACAGTTTCCCAAAGGAACCTTTCTGTCTCCAAAAGCCTGTCCAAATCCCTTAAAGAAGAAGCTTGCTGGAATATTCTCTCTCTCTCACACACACACTCCTGCTTCAAGGGATTCTTCTGTGTTATTTCTTTTTTTTTTTTTAATTTTATTTTTCTTTTTAGTTACATTTTGTTAACTCTGTGTCCCAGCTGTATCCCGCTCCCTCATTCCCTCCCCAACCCCACACTCCCTCCCTGGTCTCCTCCCTGCTGTGTTATTTCTAAACAATACAATTCATCTTTGTTTCATGCCTCCACATCAATCAAGGGAGACAGTTCTTACCTGTATTATTAATTACCACCTCACCCTCCCCATTTGAGACAAGGTCTTACTACATACCCCAGTCTGGCCTTAAATTTGCCATAGAGGGGCTGGAGATAGCTTAGATTGTAAAGGAGACCTGAGTACATTTTCCTAGCACCTACATAAAAAGGCTAGACATAGCACTGCATGTCTGTAATCCCTGCACTTGGTATCCATAGAATCTGCTAACCAGTCAGTCTAGCTCAATTAATAAGTTCCAGGTTCAGTGAGAGCTCTTTTGTCAAATACTAAGGTGGAAAATGACTCCATATAACATGTGCACACATTTGCTACTCCACCCACACCTACCCCCCAAACACACACAAATACACACATATGCACAAAACCAAGAAACTTGTGATAAGAAGAAACCACAGAAACCACAAACTCATAAGGGATTATAAGCATATACCACCATACAATTACTGTTTGGATCCTATTTGGATAGAACTATTTAGATAGAACATGACAATTTGCTACTTATGTCTAAAAATGAGCTAGTTGTTGATTTTCTGTAATGATCATTAAATATATTCTGAGATTAAAGGTACAATAATAAGCTGTATGGTGCTAAAAGCCTATTATTTTACATGGTTTGAAAAGTAAAACATATGGGTTTGTATTAATTTTTACTAAAACTAAACTCCCTTTTTCCTGCAAATAAAACCCCAGCGTTTAGAGGTATAAAAGTAGTTCAGAGGGGGAATGCTGAGCGTAGGCCTTTCAGTGCAGAGGGGAGATGGATGCTGGGTTTCAAAAAGTCCAGTTACAAAAGAGGTGAAGTGCTTACCCTCACTCAAAGACCATTATAAATAACGTTTAAATGGCCTCAAATTTTGTGCTCTCTACATTTACATTCTTCTCTGTAAGAATGTAAGAGGAGAACCATTAGGAACTTTTCTCCCTTTTTACTTTTCTTCCCAAGATTTCAAAGTACTTTATCCGATCCAGTAATCAGTGGATTACTACATCAGTGTTGACAACTGGCAGCTAGCACAGCCAGACTGGAAAGTTGATCAAGAACATGAGTGCCACACCACAGGAAAAAGCAGCACCAACGAGCCCCTGCTACATCCCCAGAGGAATGCTCATCTTCACCCTCAACCCATGTTTGCATAAATCTGCATCTCAGATGTATGCCTAAAATTGTATGCCTTAGGGCAAGACTGAGCCCTACAAGGACCATGTGTCACCAGTCTGTCACTTACCCATGCTTCTTTGACCTCTTCAGAGACATCTGCCTCATCCTCCTGAAATGAAAAGAGAAGGAAAAGAAGGATCACAGTCACAGACAGACCTCTTTGAAAACAAATCACTTCTTGGCATTTCAAATGTGGGCAACGAAAACTGAAAGCCAAGTGATGCTACTACTGCCACTTTCAACAGCTGTCACAGGCAGAGGACTTAAAAACATCACGGTGGTAAAACTGTCAAACCAAATACAGGTGGGGAAAGGTATTATTCTTTTCTTTTTTGGTTTGGTTTTGCTTTTTTCGAGACAGGGTTTCTCTGAGTAGCCTGGGCTGTCCTAGATTCTCTTTGCAGACCAGGCTGGCCTCAAACTCACAGAGATTCACCTGCCTCTGCCTCCCTGAGTGCTGGGATTACAGGTGTGCACCGCCACACCCAGCTGAAAGGTATTTTTCAAAAAGAAAGACTTCATTTCATGCTGTGAAAGTTATCAGCCTATATGGTCTGGGGATGCAGCTTATTGGTAGAGTGCTTGTTTGTCTAGCATGTGCCAGGACCTAAGTTCAATCCCCAGCACTGGCAAAACCAAAACAAACACTATCAATTTAGTCCTAAGACAAAGAAATGCATTTTTGCTGAAAGATGGTTTGTAATGTATTACTGCTGTTACACTTCTTGTCTCACTGAATAGTCTTCTCTAATCTTCAAAAGTGTCATTAGGAACCAGGGACCTCTGGTTTAAGGAATTGGCCACTTGGATTAAAAAACGCTAGTAAGTTAGAACCAGCTATAAAGGGAGTACATTAAAGTGTGTGCTGTGTTTGTGACTAGTAAGCACTGGTGACCTGTTCTCTACTATTCGATCCTTTTCCCTCCTGAAAGGTAAAACTGAGTCAGATAAACTTGTATCAATGTACAGATTTTCAGTCCTTTGAAATTTTTTTAAACACTTTTCTTCAAAAAAATTGAAAAAAATATATTTACTTTACACAACTGAATGTTTTGCCAGCATGCAAGTATGCACACCGTGTGTGTCTGTTGGATACCTGAAACTGGGGTATGGATGGCTATGAGCCACCATGTGGGTACTGAGAACTGAACCAGGTTCTTCTGAAAGAGCAAAAAGTACTCTAAGCCAGGGAGCCATCTCTTCATCCCCCTCCTTCAGTAGTCCTCTTTAATTTTTTTGTTGTTGTTTTGGTTTTTTGAGACAGAGTTTCTCTGGGTAGCCTTGGCAGTACTGGACTGGCTTTGTAGACCAGGCTGGCATCAAACTCATGGCGATCTGCCTGTCTCTGTCTCTCTGAGTTCTGGGATAAAAGGTATGTGCTACCAGGCCTAGCTCCAAAATTCTTACTATCCTAGAATAGTTAGAATCTAAGCTTATAGGCACTATGAAGATACTGTTGACTACATGACTCTTAGGAACTACTAGAGAGAACTGCTAAAATGTGCCACATTTACCTACTTGCTTACATGGTAGTTGCAAATTTCCAGCTTTCAAAATTCTTTATCAGGTGCAGAGTGTCTACATTGCTCAGCACTACTCTCTACTTAGCAGAAACATACAAAATGAGTCCCATACGAGTAGAGTCTTCTTGTCTTCTTAGTAAAAATTCTTTGTCATCTCTATGACAATTGTGCCACCACATGGGGCTGTTTCTTTTGATCTCAGCAGGAAGGCTGCTAGCCACAGGTGATATGGTATGTCCCATATAGACCAATATACTTACGTCCTTTGTCCAGAAGTTAATGCCTGTGCCTCTTCGTCGATCCTTAGGTCGCCTCCTCTCTCGGGTAGACAGCCTGTTAGAAGACTGATCGTCCAAATCAGCTTCTATTTTCTCTGCCCAAAGATAACACACAAAATGTGGCTCTTAAAAATCTGGCCACATATACTGGGGAGTTGCTTCTGAAACTATACGTACCACTCTTGTCCATTTCCTTTGTGGCTGTGGTGTTTGTGGTGGTCTCTGAGTTCTCAGAATCAGGGACTGAAGCTCTACTTGTCTGTAGTAAGTGAGAACTAGTGTAGAATGAGGGTCTTGATGCAGAAGGAGACACTGGTGTTGTGGGTTTGTCTGGTTGAGTTGGACACCTTAGACGATGATAGATAGGCTAGAAATAATCCACAGGATGAGATATTAGGGGTCAAGCTCAATCAAAGGATAAGGACAGTAGGTGTCCTCAAAATAGGCTTTTTCAATTTTTAGGAGACTTATTAACAATTGATGTTCAATCAGTATCTATCAGCTGCTTTAGAGTTAGTAAGTGGTCAGAAACGAACAACTGCTGACCTTATATCTGAGGATAGCATGACCACAGCATTTGAGACAAACTGTTCCTAAAATGACCAAAGGGTACTAAGTAGCTCAGTGTCAATAAAAACTCATTTGATCTTGAAAATGGAAAGAGCAATGCTGTTTTTAAGATGGAGTGCTCAAAGGCAGAGGTTAAGGGGAAAAAAAGAGCTCAGTAGTGTGAAGAAACAAGAGTGTAGTAATGGCCCGAGGGCAGAGAGTAAATGTCTGTAATCCACCAATATGCCACACGACTCACTAAAAAGCTCATTTCTTCTTATGTTCTAGGCATCAAACCAAGACATGACATATGCTAGGCAAGGCTATTCCACTACTACTTTCCTGAAACTTTAAAAAATTTTTATTTTCCCCTTTGAAAAAAATTTTGAGAGTTAAAACACAGAAGTAAACAATTAGCCTACACTTAGTTAACTAAAGATTCTTCAAGATATAAATTCTTAGTATATATTAGGCTCATAATGTGGTTACGTACTTCTCATAATGTGGTTACGTAGTTCTAAATTATAAAGAAAGAAACAATGGGGTACAGAGGTTTTGGAGTCAGGCAGAACTTTGCTTAAAGTCTATCCTCAGCAGGCAGTGGCTGTGTGACCTTGAAAAACTTCTCTGGGCCTCAGCTTCCTCATCTGTAAAATAGGGATAGACCATGCTCATACAGGATGCTGAGGGCTTAATTAGAAAATGTGTTGGGTATATATGAACACTCTCTGGGAGCCAGCACTCAGTAAATAATAACAAAAGCAACAAAATGCATAATAATATCAGTTCACAGAACTTAGCACTCAGAGTTCCAACAAGAGAGATCCCTTCTTCTCATCACTACAGTGAACATAATACTTACCAGCCCACACTGGAACACTTTTGAGAGAGAAGTAGTGGTAATTACAGAGACAACAGTTACAACTGAAACCCTGAGTATGCTTGCCCTAAGCATACACCTGGCCCTCTCTATGAATACCACCTTCACTAGAGACACGTGTCCACACAGATGGTGACTCCCAGGAGTTTGGGAAGCAACATATTAGAACAAGCTGTAGGATCAGACTGACTATATTCAAATCCTCACTGGTCTACTCCTCCATGTGTAGAATGTAAGGGGAGTTACTTGGCCTGTGATACTAAAGTTCCTCAGCTATACAACAGGAATACTAATACTCATCTTAGAGGGGTCTCCTGAGGATTAAATCAAACTTAGAACAATGGCTGGCATAAAAACACATATCTTATTTGCATTTTATTGTACTATATCCTCTCTTTACAGAATGGTATGGCATTTACTCAAAAACATTAGTAAACTCTGTGGAGAAAAGAGAAACCAAAATCCTTTGGATTTTTTTTTCAGCCAAATAGGTCTGCACCCAAAAGCTACAAATATACAGTGTCTTTTAGGAATGATTTACTGCAAGGCAGAATAGCATTTAAACCACACTAATGAAGGTTCAACAAATTATCCTGTGGTGCAGAGCAGAGCATGCCAGCAGCAGAGCATGCCAGGAGAAGAGCTCACCTCTTCATCCAGACTCCTGCCCCAAGGTTGCTGGCCCTCCCCAGCTTCCTTTGCTGGGGCTGCTGATGGCTCCTGATTTTTGATGCTCTCTTCAAGCCCACCAGGATCTTCAAGCTTCTCCCCAGGCTGCTCCTGAGCTTGCCTCTCTGCCCTTGACCGGCTGAAAGTCTTTTCTGCTTCTTGAAGGTCTGTTAGGGTAACACCCTGGAAAAATATCAAACAGTAAAGACAGTTTCACATTAACACAGAGTATTCATGAGCAGGGAAACTGCTCCCAAAACAAGCCAAGTGAGGCTTCCAACAGAAGGCCATTTCTAGCTACATACGCTTAAAATAAGCACTGCAGTGAACAGAGCACTCAGACCTAAATCTACATACACTCTGCTTTAGCTTTCCTAACTTGGTCTTCTGAAAATAGGTCAACAGTGATATCTTCAGTTACAGATGTACTTGGTCCATACCAAATTGTGCTCAGTTATTTGAGTGAACTTTACCCTCTTCCAAGATCAAATGGTTATCGTCTTATTCGCTGAACAGTAAATATTGGAAAAACCAAACTTTTAAAATCTGGTTCAAGAAGGGGAAAATTCAGAGGTAGACTAAAACAATTAAACTTTCTAAAATGCTATACTGACTTCTTTTTTTTCTCTTAATGTCATTTTCTAAGTAACTCTAGTAATCACACACAGATGTGTGAACAATTAATGTTCCTCTGGGATCCTTGGAGCAGCAGGATAGAAGCAAAGCAAATGACAGAGACTTGGAGTAGGACATCACCGAGAAGACAGTGAGATTATTCCAGTCGAGCGGTTATGTTCTCAGAGCCTCAAAGGAGGCATGTCCCAAAGCTGGAAGGCAGCTACTGAGTACTAAATGGGTACATATTTCCTTATGTATGCACACAGGTATATTGTTTGGAGAGGGTGTCTGCTGGAGTTATAAGTAGTTGCCAGTCAACTGACAACATGGGGTCCTCTGCAAGAGCAGAAAGCACCCTTCACTACACGACTCTCTCTAGCCTCACAGCTGCCTTAAAAAAAAATAGCTATTCATAACATTATTCATTTTTTAAATAATTAATGTCCTTAAGCAATTAAACTACAAAGGCAAGTCAAGTGATTATTTTCAAGAATCTTTCTTCAAAGATTTACTTATTTTTAAGTTATAGGTATGTGTGTGAGCCTGCCTGAGTTGATGTATACCATGTGCATGCAGGAACCTACAGAAGCCAGAAGAGGGCATTGGATCTCCCGGAACTGGAGTTACAGGTGGTTGTAAGCCACGTTGTAGACATAGGAACTAAACCTGGGTCCTCTGCAAGCGCAGGAAGTACTCTTAACTATTGACCTAGTTCAAGTGACCTAGCACCCTTTTCAAGAAACTTTTAATCTACCAGAAATGACATGAAAAAAACAGATGACCATAAGATTGTATATATATTAAGACAGAAATACTGGGACATGAAGAGATAGATCAGTAGATAAGTGAGTGAGAGGACCAGAGTTTGGATCTCCAGATCCCATGTAAAATACACCTATGGGGAGATAGGAAGTACAGACTGGAGATTCCCTGGAAGCATGTTGAGCCAGTTCATCTGGTATGTTCAGTGGTAAACAAGAGACCCTGCCTCAAACAGGGTTTCCAAAGGCAATGACTAACATATGAAGTTGTCCTCTGACCTCAACAAGAACTTCCATGGAAGGGTGTGAGGGGTAAAAGGCACTGTGGCTAAAACAGAGCCTGTCCAAAGACTCAGAAACAGGGGTTGGTATGATGCAGGTATCTGCTAGCAGTTTGGCAAAGCTGAGTGAGTGGAAGAATGAGGAAAGCAGTGAAGGAGTGAAACTGAGGAAAGCAGGCAACAGCTAGGTCACCGCCACATTAAGGAATTGGACATTTACTTTCTGGATAATTTTTTTGGGGGGGACCCAACATCCCCTTGAGAATCTAACAAAGTATTTTCACAGTTCACATACACATTCTGAGTCAGAAAACCCTTTTTAGTTCTCATGTGGACTTCTGCTCTTTCTGCTAAGTCTTTTTCTACAAAATTTCTTTCTTTCTTTTCATTCTTTCTTTTTTTTTCTTTTGAAACAGAGTTTTTATATAGCCCAGACTGACTCTAAATCACCACGTATCTGAGGCTAACCTTTAACTTCTGCTCCTACCACCTCTACCTCCTAAATTATAGGCATACCCATCATGTCAGGTTTCATTACAAGATATTTACACATATTCGGCTCTTCCTTTTCCAGCTACCTTTTCCTTTCTCTTCATAAATAAATTTTAAACCATTAAGAGTAGTCTGTATTTCCTCACTATTATTTCTCACTCATTGATATAGTCAGTTATATATTTATATGCAATATTCTGATTTTTTCCACTGTACACTGAGGGAAAAGATGATAGAAATATAATCTGTGAGATATTAAGATGGTCCAGTAGGTAAAGGCACATGCTGCGAAGCCTGAGGACCTGAGATTGACATGCGAGACCCACATGGTAGGAGGAGAGAACTGACTCCCACAGTTGTCTTCTGACCTCCATGTGTGTGCCATTCCCCATAAAAAAAATTAAAATGTTAAAAAATCATAGTCAGTCTTCTACTTCACATTCACTAAAGTGGGTATTATAGTAAAAGTCCCCAAACTTCAAAACAAATACTGAGAAAGATCTGGAGAAAAGAGGATACTGACAGGAGTAGAAATCAGGGCAGCTACCATGAGATTAGTACAGCAACTCCTCAGTATTAAAAATAGGATTATCACAGAAGCCAGCACCTATTTCTACATGTATCCTCAAAGGACTAAAAGCAGGGTTTAGAGACTTATGGACAGCCACTTGCACAGTGGCTTATTATGGTAGCCATGTGCCCACTACAAGGTGAATGATAAATTATGGCATAAACACACAGACCTAAAAAAACAAAATATCACATGGACAACATGAATTAAACCCTAGCATTATGTTGTGTTACATGAAATATGCCAAATAGGGGAGGCAAATGGTATATGATTTCATTTATATGAGATTCATAAAGTAGTCAGTCATAGAGAGAAATGGAATATTGTTTTTTGCATAGGGTAACAGCTTAATGAATACAGAGTTTCAGTTTGGAAATTTAAAGAACATTCTGGAGATGGACAGTGAGGATAGGAATTACCTAATGACGCTGAACTATAAACTTACAAATGAACAAATGGGTGAGTTTCTTATGTATACTGACTAGAATAGGAGAAAAACAAAAAATAGTCATGAGCTTCATGGAGGATGGATCCTATGGGAAGAACAGGCACACACTCATCCAACAAGAGTGAATGCAGAATACGGGCCTACTCTGGGAGTCAAGGAAGACAAGCAATCTTTTTGTTGCTATGTATAATATCCTTTTCCCCAGACACTGACTTTCCTTCTTTGCTTCTGTACCACCTATATAAGACCCTTGAATACTTCCTTCATGCTACATACCTATTTCTTATTCATTTCAAATGTGACTGCTGTTTTCTGGTTTTCTTTTAATTTCTTCAGATGTTCCTTTCCATTCTGCTCTACAGGCTTTCTCAGCTTCCTTCAATACCACACTCACAGCTTTTCCTCCATACTCATGGCCATCACCACCTGAGGTCGTGATGAGGTCGTGATCATAAATTTCTGCCTTTTAATGTATATGACCTGATTGTTTCTAGAATACTCTGAGCTTTTCAACTATCAGTACCATCTACTTTCAGGGCATTTTCATCACCCCCAAAAGACACCACACCCACTAGCAAGTCTCTTCCCATTCTTCTTCCTGCACCCCAAGCATTAATCAACTTTCTGTATTTTTTTTTTTTTTGGATGCACTATTTTAGATACACCACATAATGGATTCATAACAAATGTGCTCTTTGTGCCTGGGTTGCTTCACTTGGAATGTTTTCTCAAAGTTCATCCATGTTGCAACACCACTTTAATTTTTAAATTTTTTTATTTATGTATGTCTGTGTGTGAGTTTGTACATATGTATGCACATGCCTAAGAGAGGCCAGACAAGGCTGCTGGATCCCCTGGAGCTGAAGATACAGGCAGTAGTGAGCCAGCTGACATGAGTGCTGGGAACTTAACTCTGATCCTTTGCATCTTTCTAGCCCCTGTAACATTACTCTTTAATTCCAAATAGTATTTCACTATATGGATATGGCATATTTTGTTCATTCACTAGTTAATGGACATATACTAATAATGCTCAGAACTGTTTATTATGGAATACATTACTGGTTGGTTCAACTTTTTGGCTATTTTGACTAATTGCTGTTATATAATTCTCTGTACAAGCTTTTATGTGAAAATATATTTTCATGTATTTATCTAAGAATAGCCTTTGTGTGCTGAGTCAAATAGAAACTCTGTGTTTAATGTTTTAAACTGCTATAAGTTTCCTTAGAGATTCTCCATGTGTGAAGGGCTACAGGCTTCTTAAAGTTCCTAAGCAAAGCTAGAATGATGAATGTTGAGCCTAGAGATGAGAGTGAGCATCGACAGCCATAAACTTATTTGATTCTGCATAGTATCCCCTTAATGTGGTGACGACTATAAAGAAGTGGCTGGAATAAAAGCATTCAATTAGTTTTTTTTTTAATATGTTTCCACTAAAAGGCAGAAAGAACACTGGGGGTCGGGGTGTCATGCTTACTTGAGTAGATCTTCGCGTCTGCCGAGCTTGTCTGGAGCGTGCTTTCCGTAAAGACTCTGCCTCCTCATCCCGTACAGGAGTCAGATAAGACCTGTGGAGGAAGGAGGTAACAGCATAATACCGTTGCTGCATGTGCTAGAGGAATGAGAAGATGCTCCACATACTAAAGGCATTCCCACATGCTGAAAAGAAATGTTGTTAAAGGTTAAAATGGCCAGAAAGTGATATGCCTTCAGTAGCATTCAAAATATTTGTAAATGTGCCACCACTCATACAAAAGTGTGCCATCTGTAAAGAGGAAACTGAATTTTGTTTCTTCTCTCTTGTTTTCTTTCTTCTTTCTTTCTCTTTCTCTTTCCTTCCTTCCTTCCTTCCTTCCTTCCTTCCTTCCTTCCTTCCTTCCTTCCTTCCTTCCTTCCTTCCTTCC